TGCGGGGGGAACTGTGCAAAAAACGCATCCTCGTACCGGCAGCCGGTACGCTTTCAACTAGGTTTTTTGTATAGTTCGGTTTCACTCGTTTCGATGATAAATTGCTACTAGTGTATATTAAGGAAAAGGTGATTCGCTTTTATTCCTTTATGAAGTAAACGATGTAATTTAGCAAAATTCTTGATGGAAAACCGTTGGAAGCTGAAATCAAAGGACTGGATATTATGAATGATGATCCGACACGTGCACGAGTGTTATATGCGTGTGCATCTTCGGACAAGTTAGTTTCATTCAAATGTTTTGACGCGATGTAATGCAGCCGTTCATTAAACAGGAAATAAAAGTTTGTTGTAATATCAATGTATATATATATATTTTCAATATTATGTATTATAAATTATTAGTAAGTTATTTTACTTATTATTCGATTCTTATCATTTATAAGTGCCTTTGGTCAAGAAAAAGAACGGTGCAGGATTGATGTTTCATCGCCATCTTCATCCTCGCTGTTGATATTAGCTGACATCGTTTACCATTCATCTTGTCTCAGAAATCTCCACATTGACTTTTTTTTGCTGTTATTTACCTTATTTTTTCTCATCATTCGCCTTTTGTGCTTTCTTTTTACAGCAACTCCTTGAGGAACAGCCGAATTAGGTTGCTTATTTTTTTATTATCTTTCTTCATCGCCGCATAACCAGGCCCAGCTCTGTAACAATATGAATGGCTTGAATTTTTGCGGGTAATATGTATTCTTATAGTTTTCTTTATCTGCAGATTGCCGGATGTTGCGAATGCATTGGCGAAAGCAATGAGTGATACAGGGCTTGCACCGGAACAGGACACCGTAAAGCTTCATGTGACACTTTTGAACGTGAGATATGCGGTTAGTGCCGTCATTTTTTTTTTTTTTTTTTGCAATGCTCCGAAACCACTATTAGCTGCCGAAGGAATTAATCATAGACAAATTTTTCTGGAGTACGAGCTACTTCCCTAGTGTCTTCATATTCGTATAAAGAAAATAAAGGTGGAAGGAAGGCTAGGACGAGGGGGAGGAGAGGAAAGAGGAAGGTGAGGGAGGGTTTATTTTTGACATTTTGGTACGATTTTCAATTTTCCAGATTTATATTTCGTGATATTTGTAGTTACAACGATAGTGGCATAAGTGTTGTTATTTAGAGCTATCAGTTTCAGAGTGATGATAGAAAGAGAAGAATGGATGTTTCGCGTCTTCTTGAAAAATACCGAGATTACGAATTTGGAAAAGTTGTAATTCCTGAAGTTAGTTGATCTTTGGAGTTTAAAAAAGGATAGCAAAATATTTGTCAAACGGATTCGTTAAATTTGGTTTTTATGTGAGTTAAGGCATTTGCACTTGTTTCTGCCAGTACTGCAGTAGGATTGCCCACTTGGGATAACTTTTAACTCGTAGCCTGGTTCTCTAAGTCTACGTCCAGTAACTTTTCCAGCTGTTTTGACCAGTTTTGAACCACATAGTAATGATCGTCCTGCTAGGGGTCTTGACAGTCGTTTCGTCTCTGGATTACTAATGTAGCTGTTGACAGAAGCATGTTGATAAGATGTAATCGTTACGAGTTTTCTTTGATGCACTTTGTGTATCAACATTTCGCGTCGCGGAAAACCCTCGAAAGGCCGACAAAAAAGAAGCCGCCAAAAAAAGAGGGGATGCGTACTGCCTACGAGAAAGCAAAAGCAGCGTCCCCTGCCTTAAAAGATAGAACTGTAAATGTGCTGCCAGGCTGATCTTGAAGCGTAATGGCTGATGGTGTATTGGATAACATGTCACGTCCGGATGTGAAGGGCAGTGGTTCGATTCCCTCCTGGTGCATAACTACTTTTGAAACAGGGCTGCGTTCGTGGCAACTGCTCTTGAATTGCCACCCCCGGACTGCGATGTGGTTGTTTTTATTAACCAGAAAAATGAATAAAAACTTTTAAACTTCACTAGGCATAAAAGGAAGAAAATATCCTATTATTTTTGAAAAATACAGGTGTATTATTGTCTTATTCCCCCTTGATCACGTCGCATGTTTATAGTCATAAGTGTAAGATGTGGGCAATGAGATACATTCCTTTTAATTTCAATTATTACGGGTGTTTTAGTGCAGTTTCAGAGCTGTTTTATATAGTTTAATTTATGTTCATGGAATACTGCTCTTCAGGTACATATATCACGATTGATAAGAGAAGAGGGCAGTACCGATTATTATACTGCCATTGGAATATTTCCTCTAAACGCCTCGGAAAAAAGCGACGAATAGTGAAAAATATCTGATCACGTAAGAAATTGATTGCAGATATCCGTCACTGATAGACTGCCTGCCCAGATTATGCTAAGAAATGAATTTGAAGTGCTAAATTCTTATATAGTTTGCTGTAAATATGTTTCATAAATCTTATTTTTTTTTTTTGACTGTCAGTTACAGTCAGTGTGTGGGTATCCCGTATTTGTAATGTTGTGGGGTTG